CCTCTCCTCTTTTTCTTTTGTCAGTCTGGCGAGTGGTTTGTTTATTTTTCTGATTCTTTCAAAGAACCAACTTTTGGTTTTGTTGATTCTTTCTATTATCTTTCTGTTCTCTATTTCATTTATTTCTGCTCTGATCTTTATTATTTCCTACTACTTTTTAAAGCAAAGAACTCAGAACTGAATGCATTACCAAAGTATAATTTGACCAGCATGAAAGAGATCATATCTATTATTGTGCTCTCTCTCTCTCTACTAATGCCTTGGATCTCATCTTTTTGACTGTCACCTCACACTTTTAATTCAAACTCAGCTTCTTGTGGACTAAGAGCCCAACTTTCCCCATGGTCTCCCTAATCATTCCAATCCAGTCGATATATCAACTCTTACTTAAGTATCCATAGCCATATACTTCCTTCTTTCTTCATTAGTGTCTATCTTTCTCTGGAAATTTCTATAATGTAAGTTTTTCATTATCTGTCTCACGTCTTTCTTCCCCCCTTAGGAAACTTCCCTAATAATTTCCCATTCTGATTTGTGGCACACAGGTGACTTTTTTTCTCTGCTTCTTGTTGGCTTTCCTCATAGACTGATGAAATATCACCCTATGACTTCAGGGATGGGGAGATAAGCTGACAATACTAGAGAATGTCCTAGTTTCTAATAAAGGTTTCCAGGACACCTCCACCCCCAACATTATTTTACCTGTAACTTCCTCTTCAGAGACTTGTGGGCAGAACAAGTACAGAAGTGAAATGTAGTGGGCAGGATAGATCCATACAGACTCCAATTGGCTAGTGATCATCAAAGCAAGGCTTTTCAGAGGTGCTCATCAGACTTCCTTCTCTAACCCTGAAAATCTCCATTTACTGGTAGAATGGTGTAGAGGACATTATCCATAACATAATCATCCTTATTTACTCTAACTATCCTTGTGTTGGAGTATCACCAGGAGCAACAATAAATGAGATTCTGCAATGCACTTGCAAGCTGTACTCAGATTTCAAATTCCTTCACCACACATTAGGACATATTAAGTGACTGAACTTCTTTAACTTTACTACTTGTGCTTTTGAATCATGCATATGCTTCCTCCGGCTCTAAACATAAATTTGAGCCACCTCACCATCCTAAGATGGCAATGAGAGCTTGGGCAATAGGAATTTCCATTAATGTTACCTGATTAAGAAGCTAAATATAATACCAGCTGAATCATCAATGTGTCCAGAATCCAAATAAAATTTTTTTTTTTAATTTTCTGATGTTTTGGATCACTCAAGATACTTTCTTCCTGGCTTTACATGTCCTTGCCTATCTAATAGTATATGAATTTGGCTCTGGCCCTGGTGCT